GATTTAATTCTAAATTTGCCTTGTTGTCGCTGCCAAATGATTCGTTATACAGATTCTGTAATCATGTTAGCATTAACAATGAGTTAAAACTTAAATTCCAGTTATGTTTTGATCAACTCTTTTCCTCACCACCCTTGAGGTAGAGTCCAAGGCGCGTTTTTTTTAACGTGGTTTCCCCAGTAGCGCATCCGTAAGTTTAATTTTTATGACCGTGGAATAGGCCTAGGCCTATTCCACGGTCATAAAAATTAAACTTACGGATGCGCCAATGCTAATTTCGGAATCTTCTTCGCCAGTTTAGATAATCCAATAGGATGAACAAGAGCTTGCTGCAGAATATATCGTCATATTTATGAATTAATGAATGATGAATGAATGATATCATTCATTCATCATCATAGCATATGCATAAATGATGAATGAATGAAAAATAATGAATGAATAAATGCCGAATGAATGATGAATGGATGATAAATGGATGACGAATGAATAATGCATAAATGATTAATGCATGATGCATGCATGAACGATGATGAATGAATGATGAATGAATGAATTATGAATGAATGATGAATGAACGATGAATAAATGTTAAATGAATGAATGAATGATGAACGAATGATGAATGAATGATTGATGAATGATGAATGAAGCAATGAGGTCTATGAAAACGAAACTTCCACACAACCTGATCCCGAAGCATTGCCAATATCAACCCCGCAAGGCTTGAGAACTCACCTAGGGAAAAAAAAGTATCCAAAGACCTATGAAAAAACAACATACCTACCTATTAATTAAAAATAAGCAAAAATTAATGCATTATTACAATCCATGAAAAAAATACATCTAATACAACACCTCAATGGGGGATGTCATTATGGGTGTTCGAGAGTATAAGGGCACCTAGTACTAGGCGAATCGTCCTCCTCATTCCCTTGCGGCCTTGAGTTTACGGTGAATTCACCGTGAATTCACCGTTTGCGTGAATTCACCGTGAATACACCGTTTATGTGCAGTGAATATACCGTCCATTTGTGACATTGGTAGATGGTAATTAAACGGTGAACTCACGCTGTTTTTGCGATAAATTCACGGTGATTTCACGGTTAATTCACGGTGATTTCACAGTAAATTCACGGTGAACTCAAGTTTGCAAAATCACCGCAAATTCACTGTGAAAGTACCGTAAATTTATCGTGAAATCACCGTGAATTCACCGTAAAAGCGCTGTGAGTTTACTGTGAAAAAACCGTAAATTGACTGTGAAAACACCGCAAATTTAATTAATTAATTAAAGTGTGTTAAGCGGTTTAAGCAATATATCTCACGGCTGCTTACGCAAGCGAGCTAACTATAGTTATAGTTATATATAAATAGTTTAAAAAAACTATTCTCTTATAAGAGAAAATAAGAGAAAAGTAACTCTTTTATGTTAAATAAACATGTATCAAAAAATGCCCCCTAACGGAGCTACGGCCCCCTGAATAGGAGCCTATAGGCTTTTGTGTTTTTTGATACATGTTTATTTAACATAAAAGAGTTACTTTTCTATGAAGAATGCACTGTTTAAGTTTGGCCCCCTAATTTCGGGACACCCTGTATAGCATATATATATGATAAAACAATTATGATAGCATGGTTTATATTTTTAAAATCAACAATTGTTTGTCTTAAGAACAAAATTTTATTTGGGTTTCTTTTCAAAATTTATACATGGCCCACGCTGAATCTTTTTATCTAGTTTCATTATGAATTTTTATGCCATGTAAGGTAATTTTCAAAATGATTTTAAGCGAAATCGGTGCATAATATCAAAGTTCAACAAGATTAAAGTGACCATCTGTTCCGACTTAGACGGGACAGTCCCGATTCTGAGCTAAGGGTCCCGATTTAATAAGCGTCCCGCTTTTGTCCCGCTTTCAATAACTATTAACTTTTACTCTAATTGTTTAGAATATTTAAGCCAGTAGTAAAAAAGCTCTGACATGGGAACAAGTAAAAAAAAGTTTTGAGTTTCTTTTAAAAAAATTCCCTAAATGCCCTATAGTTGAAAATGTTTTATTTGATGAGACTCAGTATGTTCATTATTATGTTTCTGAGAGTAAACTTATTTTTTGGACTGAGCAAAAAACTCCCACAAATCAAAAATGGGTAGAAATGTTTAGTCATTTCGATGAAAATAACATTCCTTTCAATAATATTTTAAAATTAGTAAAATATATATATTATGCTTGCCCGGTCAAACGCTTCTACCGAACGGGTTTTTTCTATGATTAATAAAATTTGGACCACCGAAAAAACTAATTTGTCTGTAGAAACTTTAAAAGCTTTAGTGACTATTAAATATAATTTTAAAGGAGACTGTATGAGTTTCTACAATGAACTGTTAAAATGAAGACAAGATTTTTGACAATTTTGTAACTTTGTCCCGCATTTGGACTTTTAGGATCTGGTCACTTTAAACAAGATGAGTCTTAAAAAACTCTATAACTTACAAAAAAAGAGTAGTAAAAGCAAATTTAATAATAAAAAGTTACTTTTACAAAAATAAATTAATAATAAAATATAGGTACCTAATTGTTTAGTATTAAAAAAAAAAAAATTTAATATAGGTAGGTAATGATTTATTATTTCCTTACAAAAATAAGAATATGCATATCATTTAACTTTTATGTTATCCTTTAACTTGAAGATATTAAAAAATGCAGTACAAAATTTTTGACATATTTTGGTTTATGTTCTTAGGATAGTGGCACATAATATCCATAATATGGATACATATTATGTAGCCTACTTAAGTAGGGTTTATATAACATATGTCTGCCAGTTGGTGTACAATGGATTCCTTATTCAAACTTGGGGGTTGTGTTGCATTTATATAATTAAGGTTTATGTTCTTAGGGTAGTGTTATACCTATACATTTCATATTCCAACTTTAATTGCATTCAGTTTATATTCTCAGGTTGGTGTCCCATGGCTTCCATATTCCAACTCCTTTTAAAAATTAAAAATTTAATTAACATAAAATTTAAAGCAAAAATATATTGGGCAATTTTTAGTAAAACAATTGTTTTAATAATAATTAATAATATAACAGACATTAACACTGATGAAATTTAAATTTAAAAAATTCTACCTTTTTTAAAATTTTTTAAAATGTTCCACTGTTAAATTCTTTTTGGATGCATTTTTCTCATTTATGTGTCTAAATGGATGTATTTAAATGTACACATTATTCAAAAAATTTTATGTGGCTATTAATAATTATGTTACAATATTATTGCAATGACTATAATAATATTATTATATAATTAGTAAACTTTGGTTAAAAAATAAGGTAACAAACCTATAAGATTTAACATTTGAAATAAAACATAACAAATTGTTGTTATTAACAATTTAAACTGCTTCTAATATTTTTTCTTTCCAAATAATTTTGTTTGTAAAGCATTGATTATATTTTTTACTAATATATTTTAGAACACTGAGAAGTTTATAATATTGCTTTATTTGTATTGCCACAAGTTAATAACCGAGGTTTGCTAAAAAGCTGACAATTAAACAAAATACTTACGTTTTAAACTGTACACAGTTAAATAAGCCTTCTTAAGAAGTTCTTATAAGCAAACAGGACCCAATGGCACACAAAACATGATGTCCGACTTTTTTTCACCATGGCCGAGTTTTGAAAGAATCAAGCAACAAGCATACGTGTATGTGTGGTTGGTTGCATAATTTTGTACCAACTGGCAACTCATCGATTAGGAGTCATGTTTTTAGTTTTGCCAATTCTGTTTCACCCCTTGTCACATAGTATCCTTCGAAGGATACATAAAAGATCTTGTATGTTTCTCTCCTTTCTCTAACTCAGTGTCGGTGACAATTTCGCATCATGGATATTTTTATTTTTTAATTATCTTGACTACTTTCACCTTTCGACATCCTCAGGAGGTACTGAAAACATACAATATTTAGTAAAACACACATTTAAAATAGATATTAAGTGCATACTCATCAAATTATACATAAAAAGGTCATCTAAGATATTAATTCTATTATTTCAAAATTTAAAATGTTTAAAGGACTGGTTGGCGATGCTGACATGTATTAGTGTTGCCCTGGGGAAAATTTAATGGTCATGCTACAAATCTATCCTAAATTGACCAACTGTTTCTACTTTCAACTTTGAATAGGTAATTGGAATTCTACAAAAAAAAAACTTAATTTTATTATAAAAAATATTTTTAAACTTACATGTCAAAATCACTCCTTACAACCATAGAATAAAAATACATCACTTGTCAATGTTTTCAAGTATTCATATAAATTTTTAGTGTACAAATTACCATTTTAAAGTACCTAAGAATAAATAACTTTTTAAATTTTGTTGCTTAAACTACTATACTATATATACATCTACAGGCATCCCAGATCGAACTTTGTTTGCATTTAAGAAAAATCGCTTTTTCCTAATGAAAAATGTGAACCAAACCTTACCAATTTGATGTTTAAAGTGCGACGATGCCACACATTTTCGATCTGGTGAGCTTCGAAGGTCATGTAAATTTTCGATCTGGCGAGATTCGATCTATTGAGTTTCGATGCAACGAGCTGTTCCCCTTTGAACACCCAAAGTTCTTTCCTTGGAAATTCAAAGGAAAGAACTTTGGTGTTCCAAGGATTAAAAACAGATATATGTGCATAAATAAATATCAATAATCCAGTTTTTATTCCAAAATCCAACCCAAAGATAATACACGTTGGGATAGAAATTAAATTATCGACAATCTATTTTTAAAACTTCGAACTGTATTATAATAACGTTATTTTAAGAGAAATTAATATATCTTATTATTGGTTTATTTTTTTGTTGTAAAATAATGGTTTCTTCCAAAGATATCGTGATTTCTTTATTCCATATGTACCAGATAAATTTCATATCACATCCAATGTGAAATAATAATTTAGTTGTGTAATTTAGCCTTTTGCATGACGTCAGCTGATGTGCGCTGTTGTCATGTGAAATGCGCATGACATTTTCGTTGGCGCATGTCATATACAGTTTTGTTGGCCGGTCTTGGTTGGAGCAAGGTGAGACATTTTATATTCGTTAAAAAGTTTATTTTACACTTATAATTCCCGGTAATAATATATTTTTATTGTTCTTAACCTTTACTACTCGATTGTCTATTTATTAAAGATAGTTATTAACGTAAAACAAGAGATTTTAGAAAGTCTTCTTTTTCAGATATATTAAAAAGGAAGCCATTAAAATTTAATTTGCTGACTCTATTTTACTGCAAAATGCAGTACACCAACAATGTTTTCCACAATAATTCAATGTAAGTATTAAGTGTTTTATCATAAGCCTTAATAACTTGTAATATTGCCTAAATGTATTGGCCCACATTGAGGATTCCTTTCTAATGAACACAAAAATGGGTGCCATTTTTTATCCTGTTAATTAATTTTATACACTTGGGTAATATTCCTCTCAAATTACATAATCCTGCAAAATTTCACACATGTTGAAATCATGACAATAATTGTAGTAAAATAAATAATTTTGTGATTTCTAAGAAGCAAATTTTATAGGTCTCTTGTGTTTATTATAATTTTCTCTAATATCATGATAATAAAACGTTCTTTGTGCTTTATTTATTAATTTTAAAGGTTTTTAGTTGTTATTATGAAGATTATTCATGAATATTGATTGGGTTCATAGGTTTTACAGTTATTTGAGTTCATATGCATGCATATGTTTAATTTGGGTGTAAACCTGTTAATTTTTTTGGTACAAAATAAATTAATGACTACAAAGTCTGTTTGAAAAAAAACCTATTGCTTTTAAAAAACTTAAAAATCAATAAAAACTTTTTATACATTTGTTTTTTTTAACAAATTAATTATTTTCTCTTGCATGTCATTTCATTTAATTATTTGTGATATAATATTGATTATATCAACATTGATTATTATAATTAAATACAAAAGTAATACCTATTGAGTACAACTCACAAAAGCATTGTTCTAAATAAATTAATAAACTGAAAGTAGGTACATTTATTTAATCTTTTGTGATATTGTCTTTACCTGTATATTAATTATTACAGGCACAGGTCAAGACCAGATCGCAACGAACAATTTGGAAAGCAGTCAAACTATTGGTGTGGACCACCTCAGCACACAATGGCACCAGTTCAAGATTTTGGCGGGCCAAACACAAGACAGTACAAAAACAAATCTCAGCCAGAAGATCAAGAATTAACCATGCCAATTTGGTCGGAAACAGAACTTAAACCATTTAAAAAGAACTTTTATATTGCACACAATAACATAAAAAATAGGCAAACCCATGAAGTTGACAATTACAGGGAAAATAAGGATATAATCGTCAGAGGAACTAATGTGCCTCAGCCAAATGTATGCTTTGAGGAGAACAGTTTCCCTGAATATGTGATGCAAACTCTAATGAAACAGGGATTCAACGAACCGACCGCGATTCAGTCGCAGGGCTGGCCCATTGTACTTTCTGGCAGAGATTTGGTAGGCATTGCTCAGACTGGTTCTGGCAAAACGTTAGCCTACATGTTGCCTGCAACAATTCACATTAACAGCCAATCAAGGCCTTTAAGAGGAGAAGGACCAATTGCACTTATTCTTGCTCCAACCAGAGAACTCGCCCAACAAATTCAAAAGGTAGCGCACGAGTTTGGATCGACCACCATGATCCGCAACACATGCATTTTTGGAGGATCGCCCAAAGGTCCACAAGCCAGAGATTTGGAGAGAGGAGTCGAAATTGTGATTGCCACGCCTGGAAGGTTAATCGATTTTTTGGAAAAAGGGACCACTAACCTACACAGGTGTACCTACTTAGTATTGGATGAGGCTGACAGAATGTTGGATATGGGATTCGAACCTCAAATCAGGAAGATCATTCAGCAAGTGCGCCCAGACAGACAGGTTCTTATGTGGTCAGCCACTTGGCCAAAGCAGGTGCAAGCCTTGGCGGAAGAATTTTTAGTCGACTACGTCCAGGTCAACATTGGCGGTCTTTCCTTGTCCGCTAATCACAACATCAAGCAAATCGTCGAGGTTTGCGATGAATCCGAAAAGGAAGAGAAACTGTCTAAATTGCTTAAGGAAATTGGATCTGATCGTAACAACAAAATCATCGTATTCGTGGAAACCAAGAAGAAAGTCGACGACATCACCAAAAGCATAAAACGCGACGGATTCGCGGCCATTTGCATCCACGGCGACAAGTCGCAACCCGAAAGAGACTACGTGCTGGGCGAATTTAGGAGCGGAAAGTTCTCCATCCTGGTCGCCACCGACGTGGCCGCTCGCGGTCTGGACGTCGAGGACGTCAAATACGTCATCAACTATGACTACCCCAATTCGTCAGAAGACTACGTACACAGAATTGGCAGAACCGGCCGTTGCCAGCAAGCCGGCACCGCATACGCCTTCTTCACCGCCAACAACCAGAGGCAAGCCAAAGACTTGCTGGCCGTGTTGGAAGAAGCAGGCCAAGTAGTTTGCCCACAGTTGCAAGAGCTCGCCCAATCGGCGCGATCGGGCCAAAACGGCCGCAACCACTGGCGCAACAACAACCGCAACAAAGACAACACCTCGCCCAGTTCGCAAAACAACAAAACCTGGACCAACAAGAGCATGAACGGCGGCGAGTTCAAACCAAACAACGGACCTAGGAACTTTAACAACAGGAACGGCCAAGACGGCATGCAGAGGAATCAAAGGAGCTACAACAACTCAGGATACAATCAATACCAGAACGGCGGCCAGTACCAGAGCCAAGGATACCAGAACTCATACAGTCCTCCAAACATGTACCAACAGCAGATGCAGCCCAGTGGACAGCCACGTGGATATGGTAAGTCAATATCATTGTATTAATTTTAATAAATCATTAATAGTGGTCAACTTTTTTCTTGGCTACAAAGTTTGTTTGTATGCGGGGTTAAAAAAAATGAATATTGCTACACAGGGTGATTTACTTTTATGGATGAAAATGTTTTACACAATTAACTTTATATTTTTCTGTATCAGCCTCTGGCAATTTTCAAAAAAAATATGAAAAAAACAAGCTAAAAATTAAAACAAGATTAAAATTTTTTTTGCTTCTTTAAAGACCTCTTTTTACAGTTAGGGTTTTAAACTTTAAAATTGGGGAAACATGTTTTTTTCGGTTTTTCCCCAGGTCTTGGAAAAGTTGACTTTTTTGGGAAAAATTGATTTTTTTGGGATAATACTGTGTGTATTAAAACGAATAGATACGCTTAAATAAAACAAATGTCAAACCCCGCCCACTGTGGTAGGGATTGAATCCGTTTGCTTGCCGTATCATTTTCGTATGATCTTATGTTCTGTGATCTGTGCCTCAGTTTAGAAGTGCACTGAGACTTACGTCTTTGTAAGAATAAAAAAGTATTTTCTCAAATAAAATGGTTTTTACCCGTGAGGAAAAATACCAAATTATGGTATGGCATCACACTGGTAGATCGTATCGCCAAATACAAACTTTATTTCAAAATATGTTTCAAAATAGGCCTTTACCCAGTGTAGCTACAATCCGGCTGCATGCCGCGCTGTTGCCATATGCTATTATTGTTTCCTAAAAGGGTTGTTTTTCTTATTTTTTAATATTAAAAGTAAGAAAATTAACTAAATTAAATTATTTTTGACATATTATTAATTTTTTTGTTATTTTTAAAGTTTCAAACAAATAAAATTAAACTATTTATTAAATAATTATAATCGTTCTCTTCTGATTTAAAACAACCTGGCAACTATGGTTCGTAATTACGAATGGCTTGGTTTAAACCAAGCCCAATTAAAGTTTGTTTCTTTTTCTCTGATCAGAATATAATTTGTCATCCTTGTCTCCAGCCTTACTTGATTCTATACAGTCTGTATACACATTTGAAAAAAGTAGCAATCAACAACTTAACATTATTTTAGTTTAAAAAAAATATCCTATATTACAGAAAAAAATAAAACTAAATATTGAATTAAATTAAATTGTTTTAAAACACAACTCGAGACAACACCAAGGAGAAAATACCCAGAGAAATCGTTGTATGACTCACTCAGGGAATTGACAGAAGAATAATGAAGATATTAACAATATATTTAATTATAACATTTTTTTTTTTGTAAAGTATAGAACATAAATTAAAATATAGTATTTGTTATATACAAAATTGTAATTGGGCAGGAAGACGAAAGTCGTTAGCCTTTTGGATTTCCAATAAAGTTTATTATTATTATTATTATTATTATTATTAAATTGTTTTAAGAAAATAAACGTAATCATTAAATATACTGTTGGTTGAGTCTTTTTTTTGCAAAAATGAGTCCATTTAAAATATCCAATTACAAAGTAATGAATGATTTATAAAGTTAAATTACAAAATTATAATTTTCAAATAAATCTAAAGTTTGTATTCTTACTGAATTAAAATAAAAGGAATAATTATTATAACCATAATATTATGATTATAATCAGCGTCGGAAATTCACTTTTCTCGATATCATCTGTAAAAATTTGGAAATTTTCAGAAAAATTTACTTTTGCATTTTGTTCGCATTATTTTTTGAATAAAATGAAAAAAATGCAAAAGTCACTTTTTCTGAAAAAACCGGTTTTTTCCGCCGGCTCCATTTTTTCGAAAATGTTTAAACCATAGTTAAAGTACTTATTAACATCCTGCCTATTATAGTTAATCAAATTTCGGTTTTCGATTTTTATTTCTTCTACGAAATTTGAGGAACACGTACATGAATACAAAAATTAAATCTGTGATCAATATCAATATAGACATTATGTGTATCGTGAGCAATAACATTGGCAAATTGCAAAAAAGCGCTACCAGCGGCGGATCGTGGTTTTTTGGGGCCCTAAGCTAACTGAATTTCTGGAAACCCTGGAGAAGCTACGTAAATTTCTAAAATAACTTTTTGGACAACAGCAAAAATAAATAAAACATTTTTCCTAAAAATTCCCCTATGTAACAGTCACCCAATTTTTAAATGTGGCCTTTTTAATTCTTCTCCTATTCATTCAAAAAAATCGATCACTTGGATAAAGGCAACTTAAGCCGTCAGTGGTGTAGTAGTCAACGCTGCGGACGGAAGTTAAAAATAACTCCCTAATTAAATAAAAAACTTTAGGAATAACTAGCCACTTGTTTAGAAAAATAACAGCATAGAATAAACAACACACAGAAGAATAACTTTCATATAGACGTGTTGCCTAAATATCGGCTTAAACGATTACGAACAATATAAAATACATCTAAATAGATTTTGTCGGGAAAATTAAGCAAGAAAGAAAAAAATGCAAAAGACCCTGCCTCTTCTCCATAAAATTTTGATGAAATTTTTGGCAGGGGATGACTGCCAATATCTGTCTTTTCAGTTTCGTTTCTTCTTAAAAAAGGCGTTTCAACGTTCAACCTAAGCTATTAATCTGCCGTGCTAAGACAAGAGGTCGTAACTAACAAAAAATTGGATTTCCAGATTTTTGTATATTTTGCATCTATTAACCAAAACCTATCAATTTACCAATTCAGAAAATCTTATATATATAGCCTAAATATTTTTTTTTATTTAAAATAACAATTGTACAAAAAAACATAAAATAAACACATATATACTACTATACTGACTAATACAATGTTTTTGTGTCCCTAAACAGCAACTGCTGGTATCAGGACTGAAATCACAGTGTGTCACAATTAAACAGTTCACATATATCTACTTAAACATTAAATATATAATAAAACAAAAAATACATATCATGATCCATTGTCCTATATAAAATTCTTATTCATAAGGTACATTTTTAATCGGTTCAAATATATCCCAAAGCTAGGACATTGTCTTATATTTAAAGGTAACGAGTTAAAAGCTAACGTGGCTTGCGTTAAAAGGTTATGAAGTGCTGCGTTTGTTCTAATGTTTGCAAGATAAATATTTCTGTTATTTCTGGTGTTCATAGTCGTAAATGTCACTATTAAAATTCAAGTTACTATTGCATTTTATAAATAAGTCAAAAAACTTAAAATATTTGTTGTATCTTTCAAATATTATCCAATTACTAAATCAAAATATCCTATCTGATCTCTACTAAGTCAAATTGTTCTATCTGACAGTTGGGACTTTTCCTCTTGGTATATGCATTATGAATTTTAAAAAAAATTTCAAGGAATGTCTGTATTGAAAAGTAGGCTAAAGTTTTGGGAGGAATTGCCAGAAACTGTTGCAGAAGAATCTGACCTAGATTAGAGTTTTGTTTAGGTTGATTTTGATTTTTCAGTTACCTTGAATTATACCATGTATGTATTAAAATTAGAAATAAATTATTTTCCTACTTTGATTAATCTAATGTGTACTAATTTATACAATCGAATCAAATTGTTAAAGTCAAAACGTAAGTCATATCCCTGACAATAAATGTGTTATATTACCTTATAAAAAGAAGACTATATTACTACGTCCAAATGTCGTATCTATCAAAGTTATCAAATATTCTTTTACCGTAATATCTTTGATATCAAACTGATCGATATTTACAGCAGACAATAATTCTCCGTTAGTAGTACAAAAAAGTTGCTTAAAAAATGATGGGAAACTACTAATCCAGTTAAGTTCAGAAATCTTTAAATAACTCGAAACTTTACTTAAACTAGATACGACCTCTTGTCTTAGCACGGCAGTATTATTTCGCCTCAAAGCAACAGATAAACTCGAACAGTTCGCTGCGAACTTGTATAATATAATATTTCGCATTTAAATAGTAGCTTCCCAAGCTGTGAATAATTCGCCCCTTTCCTGCCGACTCTCAAAGATGTAGTGGGTTTAACCGCGTCACCTTGACGCTTAGTATAATTGATTGGTTTTTTACTTTTTATTGGGTAGAACTGTTGTAAAAAGCTTAATACAAAAAGTAAATTTAAAGGGTGAGGCGCGGCCTCAGAGGCTCAGAGCCCTGAGGAGCCGCCACTGCAGAGAAGTGCTTCCACTCTTTTACATGAAAAATGAAAGTACGTTATGTTAACATGCAGTTTGTTTGTTCAACAGGCAACGGCGGCGGTCAAAGAAACTACAACAACCAGCGTTTCAACCAGCGTCAGCAGTACACGGGCCCCCCGCAGGCTACCAGCCCGAACATGTACCACACCGTGCCGCCGCAGGCGTACATGATGCAAGCGCCCCCTGCCGCCGACGGCCTGCAGGGCATCATCAACCACAAGTTCTTCCAGAGCAGCCGCATGCCCAGCGCGACGAACCCCTGCGCCTACCAGTCGCTCGGCCAGGGCCAAGCCGCCCCCTTCAACCAGTTCGCCGCACCGATGCAGTACACCTACTCGTACGGACAGCCGCCGACGGCGGCCGTCCAGCAATAAGCGCCGCCGCCCGCCTGATGTTTGGAAGCCGACGGCGTACTCGCTCGAAAATTTCTGGTAAATTTTTCCCAATATGTTTAATTTAGTTTATTTTCTCTATTGTTCCAACAGTTTCAATCAAATTGTAACGAATTATTATCTATGATACCGAAAACTGTATATCCTATCTGTATAAAAATTTATGTTGTTGAATTCTCATTGCCCTTTTGATTTTGATTGAAGCTGTGTAAGTTTAAGTAATTTGCAGAATAGTTGATGGGAGGATGGATTAAAAATAATGTAAAAGGACTGACGACAAACATTAAGTTTGGCAAAGAACTAATTTCAGGTGATGGTTGCACTGCTTTGCTTGATGTTAATTATTGTATTCCATGCAATGGCTCTCCTTAAACTAATTCTAGGTGTTTGTAGCTGCAGAGGCGAGACTACTCGTCGTTTTCAATTCTACTTACTTACTATGTGTATGGCGTCTTTGCAGCACCCCCATCCCCTCTAAAATTATATTTATCCTTAGTACATAACTGTGTGATTAGCGTAGTGTAACAGTTGTAACTATCTGTATGCGGTTGAAATGCACGAAACATATAGAAGGGGAGTTTGGGCTCGTTTCGTTATAGTATTTTATACATGCTATAAGATGCAACTTATAATCTTACTGTAGATTTATAAAGAGTTATAAAAAAAGAATAGTAAGCAGTCAAAAAGTAAATAATAAATATTTCGATATACCAAAGGATCTAAAATAAGTGCCCGTTGTATTATAAAAGGTAGTTGATAAAAGTATTTTTAATTTTGGAAAGTTCCCAGTCATATTTTTATAGTGATAAACAAATGTATTGTTAAACGTAAAGGACGAATAATATATTTTATAATAAATTTTTTATGGAATAAAGCATAAAGAAGAAGTAAACTAAGGTTTATAATAGAACGAGGTGCGTCGAAACGAAAAGTTAACTGGTAACTAAACTGGGTTACAACAAAATAACTAGATAGAAATTATAGTTTTATTTATTCGGGAGAGCTTATGTTTATGTTTGTTTACGAATATTGATGATAAAAATTATTGCCTCGGCAGTCAGTACTAGCTTTGAAGTATGGATGTTTGACTGTACCGGAATAAGCCAGAGTGAGAGTTTAATGGTTTTAAAAAGTACGTCGTGTCGTGTGCAAGTGCCCCCCGTTTCTCCTCCGTACGTTTGTTTTTTAATTTATTATTGCGGATCTTTGACATGACTGCTTGTGTCGTGTACATATGTGTAGTATTAAGTATTAACTCGTTTGTCGTTTAGCGTGGTGCTGAAGAGCGCACGTGTCATCTGTGATATTTAGCGAGTAAAGGTAGCAACAAAAGAATAATAACATTAACTTTATATCCTTGTCTGGAGAAAACGCCGCCAAGCATTTTCTATCAAATTCCACAAGTCTAGCGAATCGTGTGCTGCTCGATTTCAATTCAAACTAAACTAAACCTATTTACATTTACACTACCCACCTATTCAAATCGATGATTTTTCTTGATTGACATAAATTTATAACGAAGTAACAAAATTTATAATATCTTAACGTATTATAATTGTAGATTGAGATTTGTTGGCTGTGGATATTGGTAGTACGGTTTAGCAATGTATAATAAACATTGATAGGAATGTGATATTTTCTATTAAGACTGAAATATCTCTAGATATATTTTTTTTATTCTTATCTACGATGACTGTAATAAGGGGTCGTCAACCATTACGTTAACTAACTGTTTTACCGTTCCAGTGTGCTTTAGTTTTTTGGAAGGTAACAAACAGCGTTTCTCGGACTGAGTAGTGCATAACAAAAAATAAGAAAATTGCACAAAGTTATATCATTATTCTACAATGTTATCATTCACGCCATTGCATCGTAACGATTAACGATTTTATAAATATTTAATATTTAATGATCATTTTTTTCTCAAGTCAATTCTTTTTGTGGTGTTTTATTGAACTCAAGTACCTAGAATATATTTATAAGTCTAGACCAGAATTGTTGATAAAAATCAACCGTGATCCTCTAAAGCGCGATTTTGGTCATGTTTATTACAATACCTACTTATATAATTGCTTCAACAATTAGGTTGTTATACAAGGCCCCACATTAAAACTCTCTTAAGAATGAATAATAATATTAAAATAATTATTTATATACTCTTCTGTAAGTTTCCAGCAAGTGCATTTCTTGTATGTAATACAGTATTAATATATCCTAGTTGTAATTTCAAATATATTTTCATTTTTTTTTTCGTATATAATTATGTTATTTGTTTGATTTTTAAATTTGATGTAAAATACTTCAAAATAAAAATCTAATATTCAAAATAGATGTTTTATTTTTAAGCTAGTAATATTAATGTTCTCATTTATCTTAAATACATGTCAACTTTTCAGACAAATTGTTACAAATATTGATGTTTATAAAAATAAATGGAATATGGAAAAAACTATTTGTTTTATTAACAAACCCAACATTTTTTAAACACATCCTTTTTTTAAACCCCCAATATAATTATGCTTTTAGAACAAAGAACAATCCACAAATGAAAATACATAAGGAAAAGGTGTTCTTTGGATTGATTGTCTAGAGTGGTTTTATAGGATACCCTTTTATAGTATATTATGTATCAAGTTTTATGAACGCCATTTTAGTTACGAGTTTAATTAGACCCGAGCGAAGCTTGCTGGCGAGTGTTTAATAAAAACAAGTGTCTAGAGAAGTTTATAAAACGAGTTGCATACTATCTATGATGAACAGAGAAATTTAAAGCCAATTTTATTTGTTAAACATTTGACATCTGCCAAGGATTTAACCTCACTTTTCCTAATTTATAATAAAGCTAACTTCAACCCGTGACCAAACTGCCCAAAAGCTACCTTCAGCCCGTGACTAAAATACCATAAAGCCACAACTTGTCATAAAAACATGTACGATAATGGGCGTTTTAAACATATACCTATAACTAAGGAGTTATAGGTATATGGTTTTAAAGGTGGGAGGAGAAAAATGCTTTCATCTACTCCTACATTGACAAGCTGTGACTATGGCGTTTTAGTCACGGGCTGAAGTTGGCTTTATTATAAATTGGGAAAAATTCAGTTTAAATCCGTTGACATTTGACAGGTAACAGTAAAAGTTACATTTCATATTGGCATCTTTGCTTAGAAAATGAATCTTTTCATTGCCAAGGCAAAACACGAATTTAAAGTGACATTTCTGTGTGAAAAGTGACTGGTCTGTGTGTAAAGAAATTAATTAATAAAATAAATAGTTATTTGTTTTACAAGTGTTGAAAAGCGACTTTTTCATTCGAGTTTTTAAGTTGCCCACGAGGCCGTTAGGTGGAGTGTGCATTAACACGAGCTTGAAGAAAGCTTTTCTCACAAGTATAACACAATGTTTTTTCTGCGACCCTATTATTTTTTATTATTTTTAAATACAAAACAAAATAACCTAAAAACTTTTTTGACAGCTGAATGTCAAACGATGCTTTCCGGTTCTTTTCACACAGACCTGTCACTTTTCACACAGAAATGCCACTTTACATTCGTGTTTGCCAATGAAAAGATTCATTTTCTAAGCAACGATGCCATCATGAAAAGTGACTTTCACATATATGTGAATATATATATATAGTGGTCGTAGAAAAAATAATTATTTTGTTTTGTATTTGAAAATTATAAAAAATAAAAGGTTCGTAGAAAAAACATTGTATTTCACTTGTGAGAAAAGATTTCTTCAAGCTCATGTTAATGCAGATTTGGCCTAACGGTCTCTTGAGCAACTTAAACACTCGCATATGCGCATATAAAAAAGTCGCTTTTCAACACTTGTAAAACCTTTGCATAAAAAACCTTTTTATTCAAAGTGTAAAACAAATAACTATTTGGCTATAATGCCAAACAAAAAAGCGGACCTTCTTTATATCTGAAGCAGACTTTTTGACTGAAAAAAAATATAACGAAAAACGACAAAATTGTTTTTTAACGAAACAAAAAATAAACTTTCTTGATACGCCAATATCGAAAATTTCGATGGTTAGCGTTCTAGCATCAAGTTTAGGTTTCGGTTCTAGCCCCAGACAAAACCCTAGGGTTCTAGCCTAGATGGTTATAATTGTAATTATAACTTATAATTATAACTTAAGTTATAACCATCTAGGCTAGAGCCCTAGGGATCTAGGTTTTGTCTGGGGCTAGAACTTATATCCAGCGCATATCCACCCTGATCCAGGGTTATAGGCTATAGCGCTGTAGTCCATAGTCGCCGCAGCAAATGTTTTCCGTTGCGTCATCAATTTTAAATGTCAAAAAACGGTTTGTCGACACGTCCGGCATACGCCACGACGACTATACAACACAAATACATTGTATCATGTCTGGGCTTGGATCACAAATTGATCACACAACGGAAAACATTTTGAAAGTAACATCCAAAGAGCACCTTTGGTCATATCCTTTTGTCCACCAGTAAAAAACCCATTTCTTTATAATCTGTAAATATTTCTGTGGCAAAGGAGATAAGCTCAGCCACCAACAGAAACCCAACCCACCTTCTATTTCTGTCACACACACATATAATCTGTGAAAAACTGAAAAACCCTTTTTACCATGCTAGTAATGTTACCTATATACCTACTATTCATGAATAGTGCACATTTAATTGTATGCTATTATGATAGATAAGTTATAGGTTATATGCCTTTGATTAATATTCAAAGGTGTACGCACAATCCACTGTGTGAATTGTGAGTATATGGATAGAAGCACACTGTGTAGATTGTGGATAGAATTTACCAGTGTTGCCAATGAACATTTGTTAGATTGCACAGTGAAGTGCTCCAAAACGCACGGTTTTGCACGGTCCCCGGAATCAAAATGCATGTTATATATGTTATTTTTAAGCATTTTCATAGAAAGTATAGTTTAATACATATTGTAGCGAGTACCTACCGCTCTGGATATCGGAGTGGTGACTCATCGCCGGTGAGTCATCGCCGGTGAGTCATCGCTGGTGAGTCGGCGCTCGAACAATCGAGAGTGTGGGGCTCGCTGGAATGTTCCAGAAGACATAGGCGCTGAATGTATAAGAAACGACGCATCACAGAGCAGTTAGTTGAGCTTTGGTACGCGCGAAGAAATAAATAAATATAAGTACAAATAAGTAGTGATATAAATAATTAGTAGTTAAGTGTTTAGTTAGTTTTATAGTGTTTTAAGTGTAGTTAAGTTATTAAATAAATAGTTTAGTTCGTTAATTAACCAGTGCGTGTTTTAATTCACACTACGAACAGTTAAAAACGTTACAATATTTATAGTTTATTACATGTTTATAGTTATTACGTATTTCAATATGTGTAATAATAAAAATATGGTAACTAACCTATACCTATATATATCCACACCAAAAACGCCCACCTTGAAATTTTAATAAAACGCGGGCCTAAAGGTAAGGTATTTACGTAGATGTATAGTATACATTGTATACCTATTAACTAGAGTGTCTTAGGCGCATGCTCATTAAGCCTGCGTAGAAGGATTCTACCCAGTAAGCATTGCTCACGCCATCTGTTCTGTGACTCACGCACTATAAATACCGGCAAATTTAAAATTGTACGGCTGACCCCGCCCACAATGCCAAGTTGCCAAGTTTCTAATTGCATTTTCATTTTTTATTTCATTTTATTGTTGCCAAGTTTCTAATTGTATTTTAAATATTTTAATGTTTTAATGTCGTATCATATGTATCGTATGTTTAAAACGCACGCAAAAGGCACGGTTTCGCACGATGTTCGCAAAATGCACGGTCAGGCATGAAAACGCACGCAAACCGTGCAATTGCACGGTCATTGGCAACACTGGAATTTACAGAAAAAATGTGCGAAACAATACGTAGATTTGCTAATCTGATTTGGCAACAGCGCTTACTTAACCCTACTTTTTTGATATAACCTCGCTTGCAGGTGCCCTTTAAGAAAAATTTACAATTGAAAATCATAATAAATTCAAAAATAATGTTAACCACGTTGAGAAAATTTCAAAACCTAGGCAGAAGGACTTTAGTGTTGACCGAACGGTATGTTACTAAAATTGTTTGAATTTTAAGCTAATCATAAGTATAATTATAGAACTTGGGGTCTAAATACAAATTTATACTCTAACCACCCATCTAGATTATTACTTAGAAGTTATAACAATGACAACTACAACCAAAGGATACCCAATGACAACTACACAAGAAGAGAAACAGGGTTCAATAGAAATTTTGAACAAACTTTCGGAAGAGATCTGTTACCTCCCAATTGGAAAGATTTAGACCTACAAACAATTAAAAAAGATTTTTATACACCACACGACAATGTTGTCAATAGAACAAAGGAAGAAATTGAGGAGTTTTATAAAAATCATCAAATTACTGTAAAAGGAGATGCTCCAAATCCTATTTTAAGTTTTGAAGAAGCTAATTTTCCCGATTATATTATGAAGGAAATCATTAAACAAGGTAATGTTTTGGTCTTTGTTGTTTTACCAAACATCAATTAATTAATTAATAATAATAATAATAATAAAGGTTTCCCACATGACCTCCATATTATGAAGATTACATACCTATTAAATATCTATTTTTTCTTTATGGTCTATATAATAATATTTTTACTGGAACTAACTAACCAATTAGAACATGGCATTCTTTACCACAAACTAGATTGTTACTGAAAATGCAGTGCTCTGATTGGTCAATCACATTTTAAAGATTCTACATTCTATAGAATGTCATCAGTTTCAAGTAAAGACCCCAAATTTTTTCTTCTTCTTCTTAATTCTGAACACAATTCTGTGTTCAGAGGAATGACCTTTAGCTTAATTTAAAAGCTATTTGGCCAGCACATTATATTATTAAATTTTCTTTATTATGATCAAGGGTCTTATTTAAAAGAATCTGAAATTAACTCATCCCTTGAATCATTTATATATTGTTAATTATTTATTAAATTTTATAGAACCATGTCATCTTTTCGTTTCACTATGTACACATGGCTTCTTACACAGAATTTTCCAATTATCTTTAATCTTCAATCATCCGATCCATCTCTTAATTATTTCCATATATTTTTGCAAATTCTTGGTTAAAACCAGTTTGTTTTTACACTGGGAGTCCGATTTTGCCTCTCCTGTGTCGAGAAGTCACTTATTTTTCAAATACTCTTTCATAGAGCAACCGACAGACACGAGAACCAAAACCGAACTGCCCCAAATTTTTTATTTAAATTTATGCTTTTATTTTAGGTTATGAAAAACCTACTGCAATACAATCTCAGGGTTGGCCTATAGCCTTAACTGGAAATGACATGGTAGGTATAGGGCATACAGGCTCAGGCAAAACCTTAGCATTTCTACTGCCAGCCCTTGTACACATTAAAAACCAACCAAGACTAATGCAAGGTGATGGTCCCATTGCCTTAATAGTAGCGCCGACACGCGAGCTAGCGCAGCAAATTCAAAAAGTTGCTGATATTTTTGGCAGAGCTTCAAATATCAGAAATACTTGTGTGTTTGGAGGTGTGACTCGTAATTTTCAAGCAAGGGATCTAAATAGAGGTGTGGAGATTGTTATAGCTACTCCTGGAAGGTTGATTGACTTCTTAGAAAGAGGGGATACAAATTTACAAAGATGTACCTATCTGGTTCTGGATGAAGCTGATAGAATGTTGGATATGGGTTTTGAGCCTCAGATAAGAAAAATTATTGGACAAATCAGACCTGACAGACAAACATTAATGTGGTCTGCAACTTGGCCTCCAGAAGTCAGAAACCTTGCTGAAGATTTTTTTAAGAATTATGTTCAGTTAAATGTTGGTTCACTCGAATTATGTGCCAATCATAACATTGTTCAGAATGTTGAGGTGTGTGAGGAAGATGAAAAGGAAGAAAAATTAACAGGGATATTGGAAGAAATTGACGCCAGAAAGCATAGAACTCTGATTTTCGCGCAAACCAAAAGAAGAGTTGAACATATAGCAAAATTAATCCACAGGGCTGGCTATAGGGCACTTTGTATGCATGGGGATAGGAGTCAGAGAGATAGGGACCGCGTTTTACATGAATTTAGAATTGGAAAGTCCCCAATTTTGGTGGCAACTGATGTAGCTGCTAGGGGATTAGATGTGGATGGTATTAAATATGTTATCAACTATGATTATTCTAATAATTCCGAAGATTATATTCATAGAATTGGCAGAACTGGCCGCTCTGGTGCCACTGGCACTTCTTATACCTTTTTAACACCTGATAATGCCAGACAGGCTGAAGATCTGATATCTGTTCTTCAGGAAGCTAACCAGGTAAGCCTCTGCCAAAGGGGATTAAAAATTTCATTAAAAAACTTTCTTATTTGAAAAAATATTTTTAGGAAATAAACTCAGATTTAGTAGCCTTAGCACAAACAAGAAATAAACCTGCCAAGAAAAATTTTAACAGAAGACCAAGTTATAATGGATATAATAGGGATCAAATGAGACATAGGCAATTTAGAAGTGGTAAATAAAATATTTAGCCATATCAACATTTTTATACATTCTTTCTATTTTTTAGGATCAGTATATTGATTGTGAAATAAGTATGGACCTAAATAAAATTAAATGGATCCAAAATTTAGGTTTTAATTTTAGTTTTAATATGGCACTAATTAAAAGATATGTTAATTCATTTAATTAATTAACTTTAAAACAATTAAATACACAGTCCCTTACAAAGTTTTTGGTATAAACGTTTACCTAGGAATTGTTAAATACTTTGTACTGTACCCAAATATTATTTCTGTTACCTTATATTTGGAACAGAGAAATACTATCTGTATAAAATACCTGTGATGTTAGAATTTTATTGTTGTTATTTTTATAGGCTGTAAAAGTTTTTTAAAAGAAAATAAAAATAACCCAAAATGCATTTTTTTATTTTTAAAAGTACATACCTAGGTACATATTAACATTAGATGATAGTTTATTTAATACACTTTATTATTTATTACCAATTGGTCTTTTTGTGCACTCATTGTTATATTATTTTTAAACAATTTAGCTTTTTCTTGTAAAAATATGGTTTTGTTTTATCAATAAAATATAATGATTTATCATGGTTTTGTTTTATCAATAAAATAGAATAGATTTATCAAACCATATAATATTATAGTATTAGCCATCCAATTATAAATATTACTTAGCATTGTGATTTTTCGATTTTTTCCACAGGAAAAATTAGATGCCCGAATGGTAGGTATTTGACAAAACTATTTCATGAGTAACAGTTATTCTGCATACATCTTAAAAAACATACTACCTATTATACATGCATACATAATAAATAAGTAGGTAGGTATTAATTTGAGAACTGAAAAATAATAATACAAACTTATAAGTTTAATTATAATTATAATATAAATAATTAATTAAAATATAAATTGCAATTCGCCCTTAATCCAAGATGGCGAAAAAACTGCAAGGGCCAAGACAAAGAACACTTTATAATCTGTGGTAGAAAACTCGGATTCAAGCTTTCTAAATGGTAAATACCTTAACAATCGCAACAAAAAATTATATCCAATGAATTGTAATAATACCGATAGAATTCGGACTAATACCGGACTGCAGTATACCATACCAATAATCTTATTACTTATGAAACAAAATATTTAATTCTATTTTTTATTTTCTTTTATTTAATGTAAAAATTAACCACATTTTAAATTGCCGCTCCTTTTCTAGGACATGCGCAACAGATATTTCATATTGCGCACTTCCGGTGGCGCAAGCGCAAGTTACACTGCCAGCTCTTTGTTGCGGAGATGAGGAAATTCTTTCTCTTTCCCCTAGATCGTTGAAGAGGTAGGTTGTCCTATTTTGTCTCTTTGTATTTCCTGGCATTTAACTATTATAGATTTAATTATCTATTTTACTTTTTACGTTAAATTGTTTTTGTATTTATTTTGGTTGTTTTTTACAGGAAATTTACTTCAACGACAAAAATTGAACATCTTCAAGTTAAGAACTTTGATCAAGTAACTACAAGACAAACTTAAAAATGTAAGTATTTTTTCTTTTTGACCGTCCAAATTATATTTATTTGCCTTTAAATGCCCTTTTAAGCCATTCACCTTTTTGCCTAATTTCAAATTTTCGGTTCAGTACATTTTTACACAAAATGGCCGCTTTCATGTTCAAGCCGCGTGACGTGGCTTTGTTATATTAGATAAAATTATAAAATGTTATGACTCCCTCATTGCATTTCGTTCAGAATTGCAAAATTAATCGCATTTTTATTTTTTCATTTGCTATCGATTTCTCAACTGAAATCCACCCTTAGTTACCGTTGCCATACTTTCCGGTTTCTAGGTAACGGTTGCCAGGCCTTGACGTAAATCGGTTATTAACGATTGACGTAATATTCGTGTGTTGTATAATGTAATTTAGTCTCTTGAATATAATCTGTGAAATATAGCGTTGAAAATGCAATTTAACGGTTGTATCGATTTTTCCAGGGCTTGGGGAAACACAAATAATGGCGGTGGAAACTTCCGCGGGGGTAGAGAAAACGGCTTCTCCAACGGTGGAGGCAACCGTTTCGGCGGCGGCGGTGGCGGTGGCAGTAGATTCGGTGGCGGTGGTCGTCAAAATACCAACGGTAATGGATTACGCAAACCAGAATGGAATAGCAAAGTTTTGCAGCCATTTAAAAAAGATTTCTACGTGCCCCACGATGCCGTCGCTAAACGTTCGACTTTCGAAGTCGATCAATACCGTCAGACAAAAGAAATAACTATTGAAGGAGACGTACCAAACCCAATTCAAAACTTCAACGAAGCTAACTTTCCTGATTATGTAATGAACGAAATTCGCAAAGCTGGTTATGAAAATCCAACTTCCATTCAAGCTCAAGGTTGGCCCATTGCCATGAGCGGTCATGATATGGTTGGCATTGCTCAGACTGGATCTGGCAAAACTCTGGCCTACACTCTTCCATCCATTGTACATATCAACAATCAGCCACAAGTTAACCGTGGAGAGGGCCCCATTGTATTGATTCTTGCCCCCACTAGGGAATTGGCCCAACAAATCCAACAAGTTGCCAATGACTTTGGCAGATCTTCATATGTACGCAACACATGCATCTTTGGAGGAGCTCCAAAAGGGCCCCAGGCTAGAGACTTGGAAAGAGGAGTCGAAATCTGCATTGCCACCCCTGGAAGGTTGATTGACTTCCTTGAAAAAGGAACAACAAATTTGGAAAGATGCACCTATCTGGTGTTGGACGAAGCTGACAGGATGTTGGACATGGGTTTTGAGCCCCAAATTCGCAAAATCATTGAGCAAATCAGACCTGACAGACAAACTCTTATGTGGTCTGCAACATGGCCCAAAGAAGTAAGGAAACTTGCTCAAGATTTCCTCACAAACTACGTCCAAATCAATGTTGGATCTCTTCAACTATCAGCCAACCACAACATCCTACAAATCGTTGATGTTTGTCAAGAACATGAAAAAGAAACTAAGTAAGTATGCTTTTTATTGACTGTAAATTCTTGAAAATGTACATTTTTCACATGATGAGCCAGACTTATGAAAGAACTGTGATTATTTTTTATCGCACCCTAATCCTCTAAGAAGAACTGATTTTTAACTGACAAATAGTACTGCTTGTATATTTATGTAAAATTATTAACATGAAGTATTTTTAATTACAGGCTAAGTCAATTATTACAAGAAATTGGTAACTGTTCAGAACAAGGAGAAAAGATCATCATTTTCGTGGAAACCAAGAAAAAGGTAGAAAATATTACAAAGGGGATAAGAAGATTTGGATGGCCTGCAGTGTGCATGCATGGCGACAAATCACAACAAGAAAGAGACTATGTACTAAGGGAATTCAGAACTGGAAAAGCCAGCATATTGGTTGCTACTGACGTAGCTGCCAGAGGATTAGGTATGTATCTAAAAATTATTCGAAAGTTATGTCAGTATGTTTCCTAATTAAACCATGCTCAGTTTGTGATTTATAAAATACCCAACGCCGAGTTTTATACAGAGTTTTATATAGAAGTGGGAGATACCAGACTGGTTTTGGAAATATCTTAACAGCTTTGCACAGTCAAAATTTCAAGGTTTTGGGAACATTTTTACAAAATATTTTTATATCTGTGATTACAACTCTAATTGCTGTATCTAAAAGTATGGATGTCTAAATGTCTTCAAAGGTTAATCAGCTTGGAAATGTTTACATAATTGGCTTTTTTACACCGTTCAAGGTCAAAAATTGTAGATAAGTTTAGGTACTTATCTTCAATGTCAAATTATGTAGGTATATTAAAATAATTTAATTGGTGTTTAGTTGTTTAAGTGAGGTTCATTAATTTCACTAGATTTAATACCAACAAAATGATTTGATGTAATGCTGTTAAAAACTAACTGGATTGAACTGGTTAAATTAATGCGCCTCAAAAATTAAATCAGGTTATATCAAATGTTTAATCAGTCTGGGTGCCCTTTTTTGTTTCAGAGGCACATGCAGGATGAGCGTACTTAGCAGAAAAAAAGATTTGCTATTGATACGCCTTTGTTGTGTTCTTTGAAAGGATGCAATTCTGTGTCTTGCGAGTGCCTCTAAGGTTGCACTGGAGTTAATGAGTTCAAAGGAGACCAAATGGACGGTTTGATGTTTGACACTTAAAACGGCATGACAAATTAATAATTAACTTAAAAAATATATATTCGGTTATCAATATTTACTGTCATGCGCAGTAACCACTGATTGGCACCGCACGCATCGAGGGAGATGATACCTTAATGCATTTGCCATGAGAGTCAAACTATAAAAAATACATTAGTCTTGAACGAATTGTCTTCTGTTAGGCCCATTTTTTATTGTATAAAATTCATTTTTAATTGCGTACGTAATCAAAGGGTTCTAAAAAAGCAGCAAACATGCGCGACTATAGCTCTTGTATCACTCAGTTTATTATAACATCACAACTTCATGGATTTTAGATTGAAACTCCATTGACATGGTTAGTATCCTTTATTTTAATTTTTTTACAATACAATAAAATACTTGTGAATGTTACTATACAATTTAATGGGGATTAACATTTATTTTATAATAACTTTCATGTAGATTTTATTTTTATTAACCTTTAATTAGTCGCGTGCTTATAGTAACGTTTCTTCTTATAGGGCTTTTTTCCCAAACTTTTCTGAGGAAAGCATAATTATCATTTTATCACAATTTTATACTGGAAACTTCTCGCGTGGTGTAAAGTAATTTTTATTAGCTAAAAAAAAATAGTCAGAAATGCTATGTAAAATTTTTAATCACGCTCTTTTTTTATAATTGGGACAATATGACCCCAAGGGCTATTTAGAGCAAATATTACATTTTATTTTTTCTAAAAAAATTTGTCCAAGCATAATCAGGTTTTGTTATCATTTTCACATAATTTTATATTTTCAAGTAAAAATCAAAAATTTACTGTAACTAAAGTATGCTATAGAAAAAAAACAATTGCAACTAAAAAAAATTAATGGGTGGATGCAGCTCTAAGAAAATTATTTAAGGGCAGGATTAAAAAAATCAGCCAAGAAGCTACAGGGCTTCAAAGTGTCGTTGAGGCCAGGTGACCCCACGCGACTACTTGAAGGTTAACTAAGGAGGAGGGGCTTATTAACGATTTAACGTCTATGTGTAGGATTTTTTATAATTTCAATTGCTTTATCTAGATGTGGAAGGAATCAAATACGTAATCAACTATGATTACCCAAACTCCTCAGAAGACTACATTCACAGAATCGGCAGAACCGGCCGTTCTGACACAACCGGAACATCTTATGCATTCTTCACACCAGGCAATTTCAAACAAGCCAGGGATTTGGTTTCAGTACTATCAGAAGCTAACCAGGTAATTTTTCTTTGAAGTCATTTCATTTAAATTGATGTATCCTCTCAAATTTGGCATGCCTTCGTTCAGTTACATCAACGATGCATGAATGCTGTTGGGAGGAATACAAACTGGGAAATATGCCTTCGGTGTTCACACTTTTACTGTCTGAATTCCATCCTCAAGTTTCCCCACATTATTATCATTAAATACTTTGTTATTGGCACTTGTTTGGCAGTTTGGCTAACGTTTTTTTTTTAACAGGTTGTGAACCCCAAACTCTCCGAAATGGCGTCAAGAGGCGGCGGCGGTGGTTTTGGAGGTAAATCTGGTGGCAGATGGGGTTATGGAGGCGGTTTCAGAGGCAGGGAAAATACCGGCCCCAAGCAACATCAAAGATTCGGTGGAAACAATAAAGCGTCGAACGGATATGGAAACAGAGGAGGTAACTATCATTTTATTCACTAAATTTGTCCATTCTAATCCTATTGAACGAATTTTTATTCATTAGCTTCGCTATGGACTAAATTAACGCAATTTACAAGTTTGTTTTAAAGTTAGCCAATAACTTTTTGATGAAAATGAATTGCTACATTTGAACAATTTTAAATGTCAGTGATTAACATTTAATTTCTTTATTCCAGGTTATTAATTGGATTGTCCTTTAGAATAATTTGTGTTACCAATTCATGTACAAACCTGCTGTTCCAGTATTTCCACAGAAGAAATATTCTTTCTGTTTCACCAGAGTTACTTTTTTATACAAATAATCGATTATTTATTTTTTATTAGTTCGTAAGGAGAATGCATTTGAGATTTTTCACTTTGACTTTCTATTAATATAATTTATCAATGTATTTTGATAACTGTGATAGAATGTAGACTTTAATTTTTTGTTGACAATTCTCAATTTCTCTTAAACCCTGTGCAAACAAAAATTAAAGGTTTTATAAATAAATGTTGTTTAATTTATACAAGCATTACCCCCTATCCTAAACAAATGAGATATTAAAATGGTAAGTTAGAATAATATTCTGAACTGACATGGCATTATATTAATTAAATAAAAAATAAGTTTAATTAAAATCTAAATCTACATGGTCCCAATTATAAAATAAGGGTATATCTCATATTTAACAATTTTACAAAGCATTTTAAAGATTGAAATGTTTCAACTAATTTAAATTAGCTTAAAACTTCTTAACTAAAATTTTGATTGTAATGTAACCCAACTAAAGACGTTTCTGTGATTTAATTCAAATTTTACCCAACCAGAACTGGTTCTGACTGATTTAATTTTTCATGTTAAAAAAATTACAAAAAGTTCTATTTCATAAAATGTTTTATTTTTTCGGATAATTACATTAACTTGTTTAAAGTACATACCCCATTTTTATTTTTTTTAACTTTAATTTATCTCCCATGGTAGGCCAACTTTTCTTTATTTTTACACAATTTAACTAAATAAAAAGAAAAATTGGTTTTGCAAAAGAAATAAAATAAACATAAAATGGCAAAGATGGGTCCACTTTGGGATTTTGAAAAAAAAACAAAATACCTACCGAATTAACGTTATTTTTCTGAAAAACTGAAAGTTGGACCACCTTGGAATTTTGGAAAACAAAAAAAAATACCGAATTAACGTTATTTTTCTGAAAAACTTCACCAATAATTTAAAAAACATTTGGATTACCTAGTTAATATATTATAAGTATACTTATTACTTATAAGTTTGAAAAAAGTATAAAACTAAATTTCGGGAGAAAAATGCACAGAAAGGTTTTTAGAGTAGTAAATTTCAGACAAAGAGGTCAAGTTTAAAAGTGGTCGATTTGGCGTAAAATGACCCATATTATATGGGCCATAAATTGCAGTTTTCTAAAATATTAGGATAGTTTTTATACAGGAAGACAATTAGTGCTACATTAAAGAATATATTGAATTTTAAAATAAAGACTCGGCCAGGGCGAAAGTTTTGCCTGGCCCCAACTGACTACGGCCCTGGTATATCCCTTTAAAAACGTTGGACCAAGTGTATCTGTGTATCTTTTCGTGTAGAGCTGGACGAAGTATACTTTCTTAATCTGACAAGTGGCTATGCGCATATTCATTTGTTATTTTCCATCTCTGTTCCTCCCACCAACAAAACTCGTGCATTTTGACAGATAGATGCAGAACCTGTTATTTTCGTTTCATTCATTTGAAGACTTGAAAATAGTCAATAATGCGGTGTGCCGTATTAAAACTAAACTAAATTTCTGATAAAAATTGATGAAAAATGTAGTGTTTTGTGATTTTTCTGTGTAGTTTAATTGTATCCTTTCGTTAGGGAATAATACTAGATATCGATAGTTAGTTTATTGGATTTGAAACTAATAATAATAAGACATTTATTTATGAATAAAAATAATGTAAAAAACGATATGGATTCTGGACTGGGAAGTGACGAGGACCGAAAGGGCCGTACGAAAGAGCAAAAACAGTTGCACAATCAGCAGTTGCTCAGTGGTTGTTTTATTGATGCGTCTAGTCTTTCCGACGATGCCGAAGTTCTTGATCAAAGAAGAACTGATGAACGGCGCCAAGGGGCGCTCATCTTTCAAAATTCCATCCCAAACTTTTCCATGCTCCAAATGCCCAACTCCACTGAAGAGAGGGATTTTGATTGTGCTTCGGGTAACATGTCAAACTTCCCTGAAACAAGCACCCCTTACAATTCCATAATTCAGTTGGATCTGGAGGAGCAGGAGGCTGCAAGGAAAAGCCCCCTTGGTTTCTATGTTGACTTGAATGATGTGGCTGATGTACCTGAGACACCACCTGCTAATTCTACAAAAAAGAATATTTTCTCAATGGTTATAGATTTTGAGGCACCAAAGAAAGGAAAACCAACCACATTAAGTTCTTCTTTTAGTGCTCACAAGAAAAAGTTAAAAAGCAATGGTTTAGGCTCTGGAAGCCTTTCTTCGAGCTACAGCTCTATTAATTCCTATTCTGTGGCAGGAACCAGCAGACAAAGTGAAGAACAGGAAAAAGAAACAGTTAAGGAACCCATTAGTATTAGCATATTATCTGCATCATTGGTTAAAAATTTATCATTATCTTCAAAATCGTCTAGTAGTAGTGAAAATGTTGTGATTGAAAAGAATAATGAGGACTCCTGTGATGAATTGTTGACTGAAATTGAAAATTTGGAATGTGATAAAAATTCAACCAAAACAGAGGGTGACAATAATAGTGCAGCATCTCTTAAAAGTCCAGATAATGATATTGTTCCAGTTCAAATCGAGGAAAAACATACTGTAGCACAAGTAAGTTTAGCATTAAGGATTAAAAGTAGTTCACTGTGGTTTATGAAACTTTAAGATCTAATACAAATTTCATCCATTATAATGTTTAAATCACAACAGTTGCAGTGTCTGGGATAATTTCCCATCAATTAGGTACTTAAAATCACAAAAGAAAATTAAATGATGAGCTACTTTCAAACATTTTTTTTACTTGAATTCTATGAACCAAATATATAGCTTTTGCAGATGTTACCTTAAAATTAAACATTTTTATTACTTTTCATGGGGGTTTCAGACTTAATAAATTAAAAGTTTTTTTTATAAAACCAATGCTGCATTGGTTGTAAGAAGGTGAAATGAAAATTTCTCTAAAAATAAACTTTTTATGGCTTTTCACGTTTTCATTTATTAGAAACTACTTATCTCAGTATGTCTTGTAGAAATCCCATATGGGATATATCTGTTGTATATGATCGCATCTATGGCTGCATGCATACAAGATAGTTAAGATTTATTGGCCCATCAAATAGTTATGAAATTAAAACGTGGAGTATAAAAATAACAACTTCCAATTTTTATTTTCTGCGGACCAGAACTGGCAGTGCCAGTCTGGCACACGCGAAAATTAAATCATCGCGCATTTCCGTCTTTGAGATCCCAAAGAACATTCCCTTAAAGTTTATTTGATGATTTAATATGGATTTCATAAAATATGAAATAGGTAGGTATATTATGGACTTGTACACAATACATATTTAAGTTAATGGTTTTGACCCTTTTTTGATAAGAATTAGCGAGAAATAGGTTTTGATTATTATTTATTAATACCTAATTTCTAACATGTTGATAAATTTTATTGCAAAATAAACATACAGAATTGTTTATTTATTTACCTACCTAACTGATTTTGTAACTTCATTGTGGATATGTTTACAAAATATATTTATTTACCTAACAAGATAAGTTTTATACATTTACAGGAGCAACCAATGTTTGCCAGACATTCCCACAAATTGGCATCAAAAATATGTTTTTTAAAGAACAAAATCGAATACCCATTTATACTGGGTCTCCCATAAATAATATTACTGATTGTAAGAAAAACAATTATGATATGATTGTCAAGAACAATTTGTATATCTACACTTGATTTAATTGTCATGGGTATATTATGCACAAAATAAAAACTTTGGTATGCATACCATATATTTACAACTATTAATATAATTTTAAAGGAACTATGATTGAGATAGGGTTCCAACAATAAATTTAACAAAAATTTAAAAAATCTAAGGCCATGACTTTACCTACCGCATCCTTGTAAATTACAAGTTGTAATGTCATTGTTACGCTGGATAGAATTTTTAGTAAAAACACCACAGACTGTGAAAACACAGTTACCATGATTATGTTACCGAAGGTATCCTTATACGTCGTACAGTCGCGGAAAATAGTTATGCACATTTTCAAATTTTGCATAATTACTTTTATGGGCCCTCTTTATTTACAACGTCAAGTAATTTGCTTTGGGTGGATCTAAATGTATAAATTCAGGATTTGTAGGAAATTTTAGGATATTTCCCAATGGGGTTGGGACATGATGTCGAAAATCAGAGTGAAATTATAGAGATAACCATGCTGCTAAAAATTACTTTGATATCGATGTAACAGGCGTGTCAAGACTTACGAATAAAGTATATGTCAAAAATGCGTAGAAAAATAATTTTAATGACAAACTGGTATGCGTAAATTCCAACTAGGCAATAAAAAATTGCATGTGACAACCCCATTGCAAAGGGTTATCCTGTAGAAATGTCCTACTTTTCAACTTAATATGTTGAGTAGCACGTGTATGTTCTGCTGCAATTATAACCTAATTTTCACCATAAAATTTGTTTATTTTTATCAATAATTATTCTAATATATTGTTGAATAAGCTGATATAAACATATATTAATTAAACCAAATATTATTAAATAAAACTTCTTTATCTTTACCTCTTAGATTTACTGTTTATAATATCAGCATAGTTAATGTTACGTGCTTGCATATGTTTATGTAAGAATGAAATAGGGCGTGTGTGCTCTAATAAATATTTCGTATTACTTTTAGTTTAGTCTCCTCTACGCTTGCTTTCCGAGTTGTCTTAGACTGAAGACAATTAAATATTTAAAAGTTAAATTATAATATCTTTTATTTCACTGTCCATAAACCTAATAGGTTATGGGCCCAGAATACGTGTAATTTTAAATTATCGCGAAAAGGAACTTTTGAGTTAATAAACTATTGTTATTTGTGAAGTTTGTGAAGTGATAGACAAAAGTGAGAGCTTTGATAGTGACAATGGAAAATTTTAAACTAAAAAGAAACATTAAGCCTTTTAATGGGGAAAAATATAGTATATGGAAGTTTAGATTACGTGGTTTGTTAACAGAACTTAATGTCATAAAGGTGATTGATGAAGATATCCCAGAGGAAGTGACTGACGAATGGATAACAGCAGAGCGTACCGCCAAAAATATTATCGTGGAGTATTTGACAGATTCTTTTCTTAGTTTTGCAAAAAGTGACAATACTGCAAAAGACATTTTCTGTAGTTTAGACCGTATCTATGAACGTAAAAGTCTGGCTACGCAGTTGGCATTGCGAAAGAAATTATTGGGATTGAAATTACAAGCAGATACACTATTACTAAATCATTTTACTATTTTTGATGAACTAATTACCGACTTATTGGCCGCAGGTGCCAAATTAGATGAGACTGACAAGATATCTCATTTATTGCTGACCCTTCCTAAAACTTACGATGGAGTGATTACAGCTATCGAAACATTAACTGAGGATAATTTGACCCTAACTTTTGTTAAAACAAGACTTTTAGATCACGAGGTAAAACTCACCAGTGAAAATCGTGATACAAGTGCAAAAATACTTCAGGTCGATACTGCTTCTACAAGTGCATCATTCTCCAGGAAACGAAACTTTCAAGCCCCTCGTAGATTCAAAAATAATTACCAGCAACGACATTTAAAAGGGCGACACTTTAAACCCGACACCACAAATCATTTATCCTCGGCTATAAAGTGTCATCATTGTGGTAGAAATGGGCACATAAAAAAACAATGTTTTTATTATAAAAAGAGTCTATCTAAAAATAATGAAAGAAATAGAACCATTCAAACAATTCAATTAGAAAAGCCGTCAACATCGAAGGATAATACATCTGGTTTTGCTTTTATGACTGGAGATTTTCAAAATATGGAGGAAGAAAATAATATTACTTTTATCCTGGACTCGGGAGCGTCCGATCATATTGTCAACCGAGATGATATATTCAACAGTTTTGTCGAGCTCCAAACACCAATGAAAATTTCAGTGGCAAAAAGTGGGATTTTTATATCAGCAACCAAAAAGGGCACCATCAAGGTTACAAGTAATATGGGTATCCAGGGAATTCTTGAGGATGTGTTATATTGTCCAGAGGTCCCTTACAATTTGTTGTCCGTAAGAAAAATGCAGCAGGCTGGTATGACTATTATTTTTAATGAAAAAGGTGCTACTATTTACCAAAACAGTAAGCCTGTTATTAAGGGTAAGTTTTTAACCACTTTAATTGCTGCTGAATTTATTGTTAATAGGGATGTAATTAATAGTATTGTGCAAGCACATAGTAGTACAAATATAACTAAAGATTATAAATTGTGGCATGAACGTTTGGGGCATATAAGCAAATTTAAATTTTTAGAATTAAGAAATAAACTTATGGTAAAAGATTTAGGAGAAATCGATCAGGTTACACCTAATGACTATTTATGTGAAGCTTGCATAAGTGGTAAACAAGCACGACTGCCATTCCAAAAACATAAAGATAAAAGGGATATTAAACGACCCTTGTATAGAGTTCATTCTGACGTATGTGGTCCTATCACTCCTTCAACAGTTAATAATAAAAATTATTTTGTTCTTTTTGTTGATGAATATACTCACTATTGTGTTACATATTTAATAACACACAAGTCAGATGTATTTTCTGTATTTAAAGATTTTGTTGCTAAAAGTGAGGCACATTTTAACTTAAAAATTGTTAATTTATATTGTGACAATGGAGGGGAATATTTGGCTACTGAAATGAAAGATTTTTGTGTGCAAAAAGGTATAAGTTATCATTTGACAGTTCCACGAACCCCACAATTAAATGGTGTATCAGAACGAATGGTTAGGACAATTACTGAAAAAGCTCGTTCAATGATTTTTGGTGCCAAGTTAGAAAAATGTTTTTGGGGTGAGGCTGTTTTAACTGCAACATTTTTAATTAATTTAACCCCTACCAAAGCATTAAATGAATTTAAAACACCATATGAAATGTGGCATAATAAAAAGCCGCAAGTAAAATATTTAAAAGTTTTTGGTTCTACTGTTTATGTACATAATAAAACTAGAAAAACAAAATTTGACAATAAATCCTGGAAAGCTATACTAGTTGGTTTTGAACCAAATGGGTATAAAGTGTGGGATGTGAATAACAATAAGTTTGTTATAGTAAGGGATGTTATTGTAGATGAGACAAATTTTTTATCGTCCAGGCCAGAAACTGACTCCTCTGACTGTTTGTCAAGATCAGTAGGTAATGAAACTGACTCCTCTGACTGTTTGTCAAGATCAGTAGGTAATGAAACTGACTCCTCTGACTGTTTGTCAAGATCAGTAGGTAATAAAACTGACTCCTCTGACTGTTTGTCAAGATCAGTAGGTAATGAAACTGACTCCTCTGACTGTTTGTCAAGATCAGTAGGTAAAGAAACTGACTCCTCTGACAGTTTGTCAAGATCAGTGGTTAATAATAATGAGTGTAATAAATCTGTAATTAAAACAGATAGGCCAAATAATAATATTCAGTGTGAACCCCAACTAAGACGAAGTGGTAGAATCAAGAATCTTTTGCCTATTTCTTATAAAGAAACTGATTCGACAAATGATCATTTTATATGTGCTCAATCAGTTGTTTGTCAAATTCCTTTATC